GAGAGCATAGTGTACAGCAGGACCTGAGCGTCCTTGTGCACCAGTCGCTGAAGGTAAGCATGGAGGTGCAGCAGGCGGTAAAGAAGGCAAATGGTATGTTGGCCTTCATTGCGAGAGATTAAGTACAGGAGCAGGGATGTGTTCTTGCAGTTGTACAGGGCCTTCGTAAGGCCACAACTGGAATATTGCGTGCAATTTTGGTCTCCTTTTCTGAGGAAGGATGCTCTTGCTCTTGAGGGAGTGCAGCAAAGGTTTACCAGGCTGATTCTGGGGATGGCGGGTGTGATGTATGAGGAAAGATTGAGTAGGTTGGGATTGTTTTTTCTAGACTTCAGATGAATGAGGGGAGATCTCATACAGACTTATAAAATTCTAACAGGACTGGACAGAGTAGATGCAGGGAGGATGTTTCCGATGGTGGGTGTGTCCACAACCAGGGGTCACAGAATGAGGATTCAGGGTAGACGACTTAAGATGGAGATGAGGAGACATTTCTTCAACCAAAGAGTCGTGATCCTGTGGAATTCGTTTACCACTGAAGGGAGTTAATACTGAAACATTGAATGTATTCAAGAGGCAACTAGATACAGCACTTTGGGCGAATGGGACCAAAGGTTATGGGGAGAAAGCAGGATTAGGCTATTGAGATGGATGATCAGCCATGATCGTGAAGAATAGTGGAGCAGGCTCGAAGGGCTGAATAGCCTCCTCCTGCTCCTATCTTCTGTGTTTCTATGTTTCTATAGTCTGTTTAATCAAGGCGAGGAACCACTGTTTAGTTAATTAGAGCTGACACGGATTCACCAAAACATTTCTGCTTTGAATGAAAAATCTTGCCCTTGTGCCGACCAGGGAGAAATCCCTATTGCAGTCTGTAAAATGGCAGCTGCATGTGTTGAAAGGATGTTAAGAGAATCATGTCTGGCAAAGCTTGCCCCCTGCATGAGTTTCCTCTGAACTCTTGCCTTATCAGATGAACATGACATTTTTCTTTCAGTGAGTTACTCTCAGCAAACCTTGCCTCTTGAAGGGAAGTGATGCCAATGCTTTTTTTTAATTTCATTTATGGAATGCGATCATTGCTGACTGGGCCAATACTTATTGCCCATCCTTTAGTTGCCCTTGAGAAGGTGGATCATGAGCCATCTTCCTGATCTGCTGCAATCCATTTGGTGAACGTAGACCCACAATGTCAGGATTTTGACCCAGAGAAACTGAAGGAATGGTGATACGTTTCCAGAATGTTCAGCAGTTTGGAGGGGAATTTGCAGACGGTGGCGTTCTCATCAGCTGCCCTCACCTTTCCCGATGGCAGTGGTTATGTGTTTGGAAAGCCCAACCGATGCCAATGTTTAACCTTGGATGTCTCCAGGAAATTGTGATGTGCTGTAGCTTTAAGAGGTTATTTCTTTCCTGGTTTCTTTCAAGAGAGAAAGATTGAACAAGAGGTGGAAAGCTGGACAGTTAAGACCACTTGAGTAAACAGCTTGGGAGGCCTTTCTGAAGAAGGGTCCAGACCCAAAACGTCAGCTTTCCTCCTCCTCTGACCCTGCCTGGCCTGCTGTGTTCATCCAGCTCCACACCTTATTATCTCAGACTCCAGCATCGGCAGTTCCTGCTAACCCTTGGGAGGCCTTGGGATTTTTTTTTTAATGCAGCCTGAATGGGTATGGCCATCTCTCAGACTTCTGGATTTTGGTTTTGCAGTTGCATCAGAAGCTGTTGGGGTCGCAACAGAGTTGGAAGCATTAGTAGATATCTCCTGGCTGCTACTCTCTCTGAATTTTCTCAATGCTTTTTTGCTCCTGGATTGGAGAACTGCATGTGAGAATCTGTGTCTGAATTTGCCTTTTTTCCAAGGGTTGTGTTTATGGGGTGTTACTATATTGGAACAGTTAATTAGTAATAGTTATTGCATCTATTTATTCAGTTAAGTTTTCCAATAGAGTTAGGTTATTCCAAGTTCTGCTTTCTTTTGTTCGTACGTTAGCTATAGTGTTTATATAAATTGTGTTTTTGCTTAACATTGAGTAGTTTGACCATTGCATCTGGAACATGTTGCTTCACATTTGCCTCATGCATAAGAAAACATTAGGGTCTAGGTTACCTTATTAAAATATTTTGAGGGGGTCTGGTTTGGTCCATAACAAAACCTTGTGCCACAATTTGTTCTGAATTTGATATACAAAGGTCAAGGTAGCAGCAAAGCTTGTGGTCTATGTCCATGTTCATTTATTTTTCCAAGGACATGTCTGAGGCCAGACAGCCATGCACCATGATCCATGTCCATCCTTGCATCGAAATCCACCAGTGAAAATGGTCTTGTCATAGGGATTCTGCTGAGAGTAGTGTTAAGCTCCTCAAAGGACTGAACCTTCACCTCTGTCAGGACAATGTTTCAGCACAGATACACACATTGGAAATATTAAAGTAAATTAATGTAAAGTTGTGAATAATTTGCAGATTTTTGAAATAAATGTTTGAGTACTTTAAGTATTGTGAAATTTTTGAATTCTCTACTTCAGATGGTTATGGAGTACATTTAAGGCTAGGATAAAGAAGCCAGCTGGCTTCTTGGGGAATTCAAACATATTAAGACTGTGCAGGAAAATAGAGTAAAGCCCAAGATCAACCATAATGATACTGAATGTTGGAGCAGGCTCAATGGGCTAACTCTTCTCCCATTTCACGTTTTTATGTGTAAGTTTGCTTCTATCTAAACATGATAGTCACAGAGTCACTTACGGAACACAGAAAAGTCATTCGACCCATTGGGTTTGTGCTTGTTCTATGTGGTGCAATCCAATCAGCCCCACTCCTTCTCTCAGTCCCCAAGGCCATGCAAGTTTATTTCCTTCAAGTGCTCATCAAATTCCTTTTGAAATCATTCATCCTCTCCACTTCCACCACCCTCATGAGATCTGAGTCATTGCCACTTGTTTTGTAAAAAGATTGTTCACCACATACCACCTACATCTTTTGTCCAAAATCTTAAATTTGTATCTTCTACGATGACAAGAGTTTTTCTCTTGTCTACCTTATCTAAGCCTGTCATAATCTTGTACCCATCTAGCTAAGCTCTCTTCAGTCTCCTTTACTCCAAGAGAACAGCCTGGGCCTTTCCTACCTCATGCTGAAACAAACATCTCTCCAGCCTAGAAACAATTCTGGTGAATCTCCTCTTCATCCTCTCAAGGGCTTTCACAATTTTCCAGGTGGTGACCAGACCTGGACATAATACTCTAGTTGGAGCCTCGTCAGAGCTTTGAAAAGGTTCAGAATAATTTCCCTGCTTTTTACTCAGCACTTCTATTTATGAAGCCCAAGATTCCATTTGCTTCACTCACCACTTTCAATATACCACCTTCAAAGATCGACAATGATATATCTCATCCTACTCCTTCAATCTTGGAGTTTTTCCAAATCAAAGATTGAGTTGGTCAGTCATACATAATCATTCGCATCCTTACAAGAAATGATATTTACATTATGCAATTATTGAAATTCAGATCTAAAATGACTTGTTCTAGCCATTACTGTTGGCCTTCCACCCCATTCTAAATTAGAAAAAAGAAATGCACTTCATGTGCTTTTAAGGATTAAAAGATAAGATGAGGAACAGGCAGAGGCCACTCAACCACTTGAACCTGTTCTGCCTTTTCATTAGATCACATGTCTTAGCTCTGGTCGCTGAGAATAAAACAAATCTCTCAATAACCTGCTGAACTCAATAACATGTTTCCTTTAAAATAGAGAAAGAAAGGCTCTAAATTTACAGAAATTTGAATGTACGCCTTCACTTGAAGATAAACCAATTGTATCCATGGAAATATAACTGAAAACAGCTCTGACCCAGCCGAAGAACAAACAAGAGTCTCAAGATGATATATTTTCTCTCTCAAAGTAAGGTTTTGTTAAAATCACAATATTGCTAACCACAGCATTAACAAAGAATTCTCCCTACCCCCACCCCCAACCTAATTTGAAAAGGGCTGATGAATGTGGAAAATTTGGAACCCTTGTTATTTCTGGATCTAAAACTTGCTCTATAATCCTGTAAAGACTGTAAATATTAAAAAAGTTTAAAAAATATGACACACACACACAAACACACACTCTCTCTCTCACTCTCACTGGTACAGATTGGTTTACAATAACATTTAGTGGACGGGGAAATAAATTTGCTAATACAGTGTTTGGTCTCAAATGTCAAGCCCCAGGGGAGGATGGAAACTAGCAACTTAAAATGTTTACAAAGCAACTGACACCAAGAGAGTCTGCTTCACCATCCCTCCACTCTCTGAAACTACTGGCATTAAACAAATGAAGAGTCTGCCCTTGTTATAGTTGTTTGAAACTGTATCCCACTATCCAGTTGTCAACAATGCTAATGTTGGTGGTATGCCCTCTGGATCAAGCTCCACTCCAGTGAGACGTTTTGAGATCATGAAATACACTACAGAAATGCAAAGATAGCAAGAACTGCAGATGCTGGAATCAGAGATAATTCAGTATGGAACTGGAAGAATACAGCAGGCCAGGCAGCATCAGAGGAGCAGGAAAGTTGACGTTTCAGATCGAGACCGTTCTTCAGGTTCTGAAGAAATGTCAACTTTCCTGCTCCATACTGTGTTATCTACAAAAATGCAAGTTCTTTCTCTCTTTGTCCATGTTTATGCAGTTAATTAAAATTGGAAGGGTATAACCGGAAGGATCTAACCAAGGCGAAAACAGATGTTACCAGTTCATTGCATAGTAGAAGGTTTTCGTTGAGGGAAGATAGTGGTTCCTGTGGACTTGGGCACTATAATTATATAGGCATGCTTCTAATCAACTCAGCAATCAGAAAAATATAATCCATGCAGTATATATTTAGTCCACATATGCAACACAAATTCTATATAAAGCTTTGCCTCTCCTATGACCTCCACCTCAGATGTGCACAGCTCAGCACCTTTGCAATAGAACCATACAAGCCAAACAATATCACAGCTACATACTTGAACAGCTTGTCTGTCAGAGCTGCTGTAGACTGAGATTTGTGGTGCCTGTGTCCTGGGCGACGTGCTGACTGTTGTCGTAGTGGTTGATGTTGTACTTTGGTCATTTTCCATGGCTGGTCACACACTGCACAGCTTCAAACAGTCAGCACATTAGTTACAATTTTCAGAGATGCGAGGCTTCAAAGCTGAAAGATAGCAAAATGGGTACAATTTACATACATGCCTCACCACCTACACTGACAATGGGTATCACGTGCAGCCACCTACATCTAAATGGTAATAACCGGCAGCCTTTTCCACTGAAATCGCTCTCAAAGAACAATGTGTGATTAAAAACACTACCTTTTTCAGGCAATTCAACATTGCCACCTGTGTCTTCTATGGAAATAAAAATCGGATGCTGTAAAATGGGTTTCTGATTTCTATCATGCATTGACATTCTTATACAATATTTATGACCTTATGATCTTATGACCAGACATTCTTCACCCACACTGACAATGTTCATTGCTCTGTATATTTCCTTTACCAAATGAGTTTCCACGCGCTTAACCAGAACTAGAGCGCAGAATGGGTCATTGTCATTGTAAATTGAAATTGGCTTGGAATATGCCGAGAGACTGTCTTGCCCTAGATTAGAGGTCCAGAATTCAGAGTCATCCATTTAGGGACTGAGATGAGAAGAAACTTCTTTAATCAGAGGGTTGTGAAACTTTTGAATTTCCTTTCAGAGGGTTGTGGATGTTGTAACTGACTATATCTAAGACTGAGATTAATGGACCTTGGGATTCTAAAAGAATCAGGGGATAAGGAGGTCTGACAGAAAATGAGTCAAGCAACCATGATCCCACTGCATGACAGAGCAGGTTTGAGCAACCTACTCCCATACCTAGCTGTTATGTTCTGTCAACCCAGTATATTTCAGCAGACCAGCTAAAGTATTGCAAGTTTGGAGCAAAGTCAGGAACAGCTTAGAACTTGGAACTATTCCCTGGATATTGGAATGGACCCAGGCAGTGATAATTAAGTGCAGCAAGAAAAACAGTGATGATTTACTGGAGTTCATAATCACACTGTGAGAAGCTGCACGCCAGAACATATTTACAAGCTGACACACAGTACCTCTTTACCACTGCCAATAAGTTGCAGGATTCATGTCATTTGTATGAAAGGATAGCTGTGGTGAATACAAACTACCTGATCAGTACACTTGGAAAACAAGTTTAACAATTCATCAATAACTTCTCCGTTATAGCGAAAATAAACATTAAAAAAATTATCTGGAAATCAACACATTGGAACAATCCACAGGTACCATCCTCCATATCCTCGGTTCTGATCTCAGCAAGCAAAATATTTACCTGTAGAAGTAAAGGAAGAGTATGTGGAATCACAGAATGAAAGCAACATAAAAGGAGGCCTATCGAAACAGTGCCAGCACCTTGGCAGTGCTACCCAACTGGTCCATTCCCCTGCTCTTTCCCATTTATACCTTCAAGTAGTTATCCAATTCGCTTTGAAAATATTTATTGAGTTCCTTCTACCACTCTTTCAGGCTCACAGTTCCTTAGGACAGTGTCCTAGGCCCAACCATTTTCAACTGCTTCATCTGGTATCAACTGCTATCATATGGTCACAACACCAATCACAGCTCCGCAGATGCTGAGGCAGTCCGTATGTGTACACAGAATGATCAGGACTGGTGAATGATAAGTAACATTTGTGCCATGCAAATGCCAGGCATCTTCCCACAAGAAAGAATCTGATTAGTATTGATCAGAAGCTGAACCTAGAACAACAAGTGCAGCAGATACATGGAAAATCACCACCTGCAAGTTCTCCTCCAAGCCACTCCATATTCTTATTTGGAACCACATGCCATTCCTTCACTGTCATGAGATTGAAATACTCTCTAAAAGCACAGTGGGTGTACCCACCCAAACAAGTTGCAGTGATTCAAAGGTTGCTCATCCCACACTTCTCAATTAGGGAAAGGCATTAAATGCTGACCTAAATGGTGATGCCCACATCCTGTGAAAGAGTCCAAAAAAAGGCAGTCTATTTTAAAACACAACGCTCGTTGCATTTTTAAAAATCTTCATTTAGCCTCTCATGGTTTTTCCAATTACTTAGATCTCTATTCTGTTCACCAAACCTTTCCAGTTTTTTCTAAATGTACTTGAGCGAAACTCTTCAAAAGACTTTGTACCCTTCTATTTAACTTCCATTGAGTCTTCTCTGTTCTAGGGAGAACAAACCCAACTCCTCCAGTCTTTCCACTTCATCCTTTGGGATTCAGGCTGGTGAAATGATTGAAGATTAATGGCTGAGTTGAAATTTATATACTCTGCGTACTCAACTTTTCCCCATTGTTGGCTTGGATTATTTTGATGGTGGATGTGGGGATGTGGGTGTGGATAATTACAAATTTTGCATTGATTTCAAGGCAGCAACTGGCATATTGCATATTTGGCATAGCTGAACTATCACAAGGGGTTTCACAGTTGCACTATCAGACAAATTTGATGCATCGTCAAAAAAGTTGATTTTTATGTGTTCTCTCTTGGAATGTGATAAGGACAGCATTTGTTACCCACTCTTAATTGTCCTTAAACTAACTGACTTACTAGGGTCATTTCAGAAGAAAGTTAAAAGTCAACACAATACTGTGAATGAGAGTCACATGTAGGCCTGACCAGGGAAGGACAGCAGATTTTCTTCCTTAAAAGACTGCAGTAAACCAGATGGGCTCTTACGACAATCAATATTAGTTTCATAATGACTGGCTTTTAACACGAGCCGCCATGGTACATTTTCAGCTCATGCCTTCAGAAGCATTTAGCCCAGTGAGGTTACCACTATACCACCATCACCATTACCATGGGTGACCAAAAGCTTTGTCAAAGTGTTTGGTTTTAAGGAGGGGACAGCAAGATGGAGAGATCTGGGAAAGGAATTCCAAATTTAAGACCCAGGCTGCTGAAGGTACAGCCTCTAATCAAAATGATGGAATTCAGGAATTGAAGACTGAGATAGGTCTCATACAGAGTCATGGTGATAATGGCAAAAGCCAGCAATCCAAATGAGTGCACTGGTCATTAAATTACATTTTGAAGTCTGATCTCTCTCTGGACACAGCTGGTGGGCTTCCAGGCATGAGAAAGCACCACATCTGTATGTTGCTTTAATCCTGTTCTAAAGCTGGCCAGGGTTTTACTGCTTTCCTGATCTCGGCTGTAGCCTGTACCCAGATAGCAATTCCAGTTTCATGGAACAAAATCCCTTAAATCTGTTTATTTACTCATAAAAAATATAAAGCCACATTGCCCACCAAGACAAAGTTACTCAGATGTGATAGCTTTTGCGTCCGGTTAAACTACCCTTTCTGAATTACATTAGTATTTTGTAACTGTTCTTATTTCTGCCTTCCCAGAAAACGAACAGGAACAACAATCACTATATTGTAATTTTTGTCACATCCTTAGAACATACTATCAAATGGCAGGTGGAGAAAAACATGCAGCTATAATTCCCTTACAGAATGCCTGCATTGAAAATAGCATTCATCCCTCACTAGGGTGGCAGATGTGCTACCTCATTCTGAACTGGGCAACGCCAATTTTGATGGTATCAGAAAGGAACTTTCAAAAGTTGATTGGGGGAGGCTGTTCATAGGTAAAAAGGGACGTCTGGGATCAAGTGAAGGAGAAGTATAGGGAGGTGTAAGAGTACACTCAAGAGAGAAATCAGGAAGGCAAAAAGCTTTAGCAGATAACGTAAAGGAGAATCCAAAGAGATTCTACAAGTGTATTAAGGGCAAAAGAGTAACTAGAGAGAGAATAGGATCCCTTAAAGACCAACAAAGTTGCATATGCATGGAGCCACAGGAGATGGGTGAGATCCTAAACAAATATTTCTCATCAGTATTTAACGTGGAGAAAGACATGGAAGATAGGAAACGCAGGGAAATAAATAGTGATGTCTTCAAAAGAGTACACATTACAGAAAAGGAAATGCTAGAGGTCTTAAAACCTATAAAGGCAAATAATTTCCCAAGACCTAATCAAGTGTGTCCCAGAACATTGTGGGGAGCTAGGGAAGAAATTGTGGGGCCCAGGGAGAGATATTTGTTTCATTGGCAGCCACAGGTGAGGTGCTGGAAAACTGGAGGTTGACTAATGTTGTGCCATGATTTTAAAAAGGCTGCAAGGAAAAGACAGGGAACTACTGGCTGGTGAGCCTAACATCAGTGGTGGGTATATTGTTCAGATTCTGAGAAACAGGATGTACATGCATTTGGAAAGGCAAGGACTGATTTGGTTTAGTCAGCTCAGCTTAGTGCATGGGAGATTGTGTCTCACCAACTTGATTCAGTTTTTTGAAGAGGTGACCTAGAAGATTGATGAAGACAGAGCGGTAAATGTTGTCTATGTGGTCTTTGACAAGGTTCCACACGGTAAACTGGTAAGGTTAGATTAAAGGGGATCCAGGGACAGCTAGCTAGCTGGATAAAAAATTGGCTTCATGATAGGAGATAGAGGCCAGTGGTGGAGAGTTGTTGTTCAAACTAGAGGCCTGTGACCAGCATTGGTGCTGGGTCCGCAGTTGTTCATAATTTATATAAATGATCTCGATGAGAATATAGAAGGAATGGTTAGTAAATTTGTGGATGACACCAAAATTTGTAATATAGTGAACAAGGTTATCTAAGAGTTCAACAGGACCTTGATCAATTGGGCCAGTAGGCTGAAGAATGGCAGATGGAGTTCAATGCAAATAAATACAAAGTGTTGCATTTTGATAAGACAAACCAGGGCACGTCTTACTCAGTTAATGGTAGGGCCAAAGGGAATGTTGTCAAACAGACAGACAGCTCAGGTACACAGTTCCTTGAAAATGACATCACAGGTAGACAGGGCGGTGAAGATGGCGCTTGGCACACTTTTCTTCATCGGTCAGAGTACCAAGTACAGGAGTTGGGACATCATGTTACAGCTGTACAAGACATTGGTAAGGCTACATTTGGAGTACCGCGTACAATGTGGGTTGCCCTGCTGCAGGAAGGATGTTATTAAACTGGAAAGGGTGCAAAAGAACATTTACAAGAATGTTACCAAGACTGCGAGGTTCGAGTTATAAGGAGAGGCTGGATAGGTTGAGACTTCTTTCCCTGGAACAAAGGAAG